GACTACCACTGGCGGTCCTGCTGGGGGTGTCCTGGTGCTGCTGGAGGTTCTGGAGCTCCTGGAGGTGCTGCTGGGGGTTCTGGAGCTGCTGGAGTTGCTGCTGGAGGTTTTGGAGCTGCTGGAGGTGCTGCTGGAGCGGGTACTCCTGCTGGGGGTCCTGGTGCTGTCCCTGCTGTTTCTGGCGTCGCCTCGCGACCTCGACCGTACTTCGTTCCGCTCCTGCAGCAGGTTCTTGGTCTTACACCTTCTACTGGTCCTCCTCCTCCTCCCTTAGAGAATCCACAGCCTGTCTAGTCACAGTCACAGCTACAGCCAGCCTCCCCTTTGCCTGCTCCTTCTCCCTACGCTGGTCTTACTGGAGGTCTTACTGAGCGTCGTGAGCCTGCGTCTCGTCCTGCGTCGCCTGTTCGTGCTACGCGCGCTAGTGGCCGCGGTTCGCGTCAGCGTCCTCCTCCTGTCCCTGGCACGCACCGGATGTCTCTGCGTCCGTCTACTGCTCCTCTGCGTGCCCCTTTGCCTTCTCCTCCTGAGTCCTCTCTTCCTGCTCTTGCCGACCCGGAGTCGGACTCTCTTCGTGCTGCCAGTCCCACTGTCACGCGTCTCCTTGCTACTGCCGTCACTGACCCTTCTTTCACGTCTATTGCTGCGTCTGCCCTTGTTACTGAGCTTGTCGACTTTGCTGCTCGCTGTCGTCTAGACTACGCTGCTAGTCTTGTCGCTGAGTCTGAGTCTGTCTGTCCTCCGTCCGTCGGGGGTGAGTGTGCCCTTGGCACGGACGTCCTTGAGGACAGGCAGGAGGAGTTCCAGTGTCTGGCAGCTTCTTCACCTCATCTCGTGTCCGTACTGCTTACCCCTGAGGGAGACCCAGATGCACTTGACATCCCGACTCCGCGCTCTTACGCGGAGGCGATAGAGGGTCCCTACTCCTCTCAGTGGCAGGCAGCTATGGATGCAGAGATGGCTTCCTGGAAGTACACAGGCACCTACGTTGACGCTGTTCCCCCTCCTGGGGCAAACATCGTCAGTGGCATGTGGATTTTCAGGGTGAAGCGGCCGCCGGGTTCTCCGCCTGTCTTCAAGGCGCGTTACGTGGCTCGTGGCTTCAGTCAGCGGCAGGGAGTTGACTACTTTCAGACCTTCTCCCCCACCCCGAAGATGACCACTCTTCGGGTATTGCTGCACGTTGCTGCTCACCGTGACTACGAGCTGCACTCTCTCGACTTCAGCACTGCTTTCTTGCAGGGCAGCCTGCACGAGGAGATCTGGCTGCGCCGCCCACCTGGCTTTACTGGGTCTTTCCCTCCTGGTACCCAGTGGAGTCTCCGGCGGCCAGTCTATGGTCTCCGCCAGGCGCCACGTGAGTGGCACGACACACTGAGGACTACACTGGCGGCACTTGGGTTTGCTCCTTCTACTGCTGACCCGTCGCTGTTTCTGCGCACCGACACCTCTCTGCCGCCGTTCTACATCCTCGTGTACGTCGACGACTTGGTCTTTGCCACAGCTGACACTACTTGACTCGCCTACGTGAAGTCCGAGCTGCAGAAGAGACACACGTGCACTGACCTGGGTGAACTGCGCAGCTACCTTGGCTTGCAGATCACCCGGGACAGAGCACGCCGCACCATCACCCTGACTCAGTCACACATGGTGCAGCAGGTCCTTCAGCGCTTCGGCTTCACGTACTCCTCGCCTCAGGCCACTCCTCTGCCTACTCGCCACTCGCTCTCAGCTCTGCCTTCGGATGAGTCCGTAGAGTCGAGTGGCCCGTATGCAGAGCTTGTTGGCTGCCTCATGTACCTGATGACCTGCACACGACCTGACCTTACATACCCTCTTAGCATTCTCGCACGCTATGTTGCTCCTGGGAGACACCGACCGGAGCACATAGCTGCAGCGAAGAGGGTGTTGCGCTACTTGTGCAGTACGTCGGGCATGGGGCTAGTGCTTGGAGGGCGGAGTCCAGTGGTCCTCACTGGGCACGCGGACGCTTCTTGGGCTGACGACCAGGCTACGCAGCGGTCGTCACAGGGTTACACGTTCAGCCTTGGTTCCGGCTCTGTTTCGTGGCGGGCTACCCGCTCGTCTTCTGTTCTCGGCTCCAGTTGTGAGGCTGAGATCTACGCCGGGGCTATGGCTGCCCAGGAGCTTCGCTGGCTCACCTACCTGCTAACCGACCTTGGAGAGCCGCCTCGTTCTCCTCCAGTCCTGTACGTAGACAACAAGGCCATGCTGGCCTTGTGTCGAGAGCAGCGACTGGAGCACAGGACAAAGCACATTGCTCTCCGCTACTTTCTTGCTCGTGAGCTACAGCAGCGTGGACAGTTGCGGCTTGCATTCGTGGCCTCTGAGGCCAACACTGCTGATGTCTTCACCAAGGCACTTGCGCCTTGTGATCATCAGCGCTTCTGCACTCAGCTGGGTCTTGTGCCTGTCTTGCCTCACTTGCTCACTTCTTGACCTTGCTTGTACTGTCACATATATATACTCCTGCTCTTGCTTGCTTAGCCTCTTGTATATATATATGTGATCTTGCATGTGAACTGGCCTTTTGGCCTTTGAACTTGTGCTCGGAATGTGTGGTGACTTTGTGATCCACCCTGAGCTTTGCTTTGCTTTGCTTGACTGGTCTTGTGACCCCTTGTTCTCCCCCACTTTGCCTATGGGGGTGTGTCAGAACATTATAGCTTATGCTATTGTGTAGGCTATAGTGGGGTATCCCATAGAGGGTACAACCGAATCAGGGTTTCCTATTTGTACTCACTTCATTCATAGTTCATTCATTCTCGTTCTACTTTTCTCAGCGCCGGCGCCTGTAATAGGCCGGCGCCTATATCCGGGGCCATACGGTAGTTCATGAGTCAGCACGTGGCAAAATTCGCGTTTCGCAAGGGTAAAAATGTACGCGGTATTTCATTTTTCACTATAATACATTGCAATTTCTATTATAAAACACATATGTCTTATCTCGTACACACAAATAGGTGTCGTATAAAAAGGCTAGCCTGTTTATAAGAGACACCCGTATAATAGACAACCCCTGTCTACTATTCAACACTGTCTTATATCCGGGTGATGACGGTACCGTACCTGGGTCAATGTGCCACCAAGGTGACTCGTACTCAGGAGAGTACACATGAACATGATACATACATACGGTAGTAGATCCGCAACGAAATATAGCATAGGGTAAATTCAAAAATCAACATGTCATAGAACCTCAGTTACACTACTACAGTATCCTTCACCATAGAATCAACAAGGACAACACAAGCAATTGCAGCCGTTGCTGAAGTGAGGCTGACACATAATGTCAACAAGTAGCAGATGAGATGAGGACACCGTGCAGTTGGTGGGGCAGTTTGACTGAGAGGCACCGCATTGGATGAGAATGGGTGCAGATGGGTGGGTCAGTGTCTGCCAGCCTTGTCTTGTGCCAACGAGCTCGATGTACCATCCCTGTTCCCGGCTGGGAGGAGGGAGGTCCGGGAAGGAGGAATGAGAAGATGAGGTGGGAGGGAGGGGAGAGCGATTCAGGGTATTGGCACAGAATGCTGCTGGAGAGCACGAGGGAGCAAATATGAGAAGGAAGTGACGGCTCCCCAGCATATGATTAATGAGTTGATGCATGCATTGAGGTGAGGAGACTTGCACGCACGGAGTGATGAAAAACTGTGTCGCTCAGGGACATTAGAGAAAGACCTGAAACGTCCTCATGACTGTACACCATGCTTTTCGGCATCATCTTGCAATGCATTGTCTCCCATGCCACACATGGAAAAGAGAACAACTCCACAGCAACATCCACCACCACCATGACCTCTCCATTGTCCTCATGCCTGCAAGCACCGCCCAACAAGTGCACTGCTCACCTCGAGTGGTACGCGCATTAGCCCGGGAGTCGGCAGCAGCAAACGGGCCATTCCGGCGAGAGGCATGAGAGGCAGCTGCCGTTGCGATGCGGCCCTCCGTGTCTGTGGCGCGAGTGACAGTACAGCTGTTGGTGCGGGCGGCAGTGGTTCTGTTGCAGGTAGCACTGATGCCGGTGGTGCAAAAAGAAGTGATTCCATTTGTGCGGGCGCTAATGGTGTCTGAGGTGTGGCCTGCAATGGTGGTCGTAGTGCAGGCGGGAGTGGGGCTGGTGGTGCGGGGGGCGGTACTGGTGCGGTTACCAATGCGGCCTGCAGTGGTACGGGTGGTGCGGGCAGGAATGGTGCCGGTGATTCGGGCTGCAGAGATGCTATTAGTGTGGGTTGCAGTGGTGCAGATGGTGTGGGTGGCAGAAGTGCCAGTGCTGTGTGAGGCAGAGGTGCCGGTAGTGTAGGAGGCAGTGGTGGTGGTGGTAGTGCTGGCAGGAATGGTGCGGGAGGTGCGGGAGGTGCGGGTGGTGCGGTTGGTGTCAGAATGTTATGCTCTAGCCTGTAGTGGGGTGCTCTATAGCGAGTACAACCCTTCTAGGGTTTGCTATTTGTATCCCCATTCTTGCTAGTTCAACCCTCTTCTTTCTTCTAACTTTTACATGGTATCAGAGCACGTCGATCCTCTTGGATCGATCCTGTGGGTGGGCTCACCACCTCATTGCTTCCGCTGCAACTGCTACTGCTATTCTCTGTGCCGCACGCCCCGTGGCGTGCGGCAGTTTTTTCTTCCCGCCGTGCGCCCCGAGGCGCGCGGCGGTTTTCTGCCCGCCGTGCGCCCCGAGGCGCGCGGCGGTTCTCTGCCCGCTGTGCGCCCCGAGGCGCGCGGCGGGCTTCTGCCCCGTCGTTCGCCGCGTCGCCCTCTGGAGGCGCCGCGACGGGCGATGGGGGGGCCCGTCGCGGCGCACCGAGGGCACGTACACGCCGCCCGTGCGCCGCCCGTCCCGGCCCCGCGCCGCTGCCCCGGCCCGTCGACGCCCGTGCTCCGCCCGTCCCGGCCCCACGCCGCCCGTGCGCCGCTCGTCCCGGCCCCACGCCGCTGCCCCGGCCCGTCGACGCCCGTGCGCCGCCCGTCCCGGCCCCATGCCGCCCGTGCGCCGCCCGTCCCGGCCTCACGCCGCTGTCCCGGCCCGTCGCCGCCCGTGCGCCGCTCGTCCCGGCCCCGCGCCGCTGCCCCGGCCCGGCGACGCCCGTGCGCCGCCCGTCCTGGCCCCACGCCGCCCGTGCGCCGCCCGTCCCGGCCCCACGCCGCTGTCCCGGCCCGTCGCCGCCCGTGCGCCGCTCGTCCCGGCCCCGCGCAGCTACCCCGACCTGTCGCCGGCTCGTGCACCACCCCCCCTCCCCCCCCTCTTTTCCCGTCGCCCGTCGTGGCTCCTTCGGGGGCCGCGACGGGAGGGGCGACGTGGGGGTGGGGGCGAGCGTCGCCCCTTCTGCCGCCTCCTTTGGCGCCCAGGGAGGCCGCGCGTCGCCCCCCCCCCCCCCCCCCCCCCCCGTAACCTCCCTACCCGCCATCCCGCCCTGCCCTGTGTCCGGGTTTGGGGGTGGCGAGTGGGGGGTGGCGGGTGTGTGGTCTCCCCTGCTCCTCCTCCTCCTCTGTCTCCCACTGCTGCAGCTGTCGCTGAGGGGGGTGGGTGTGTGGGAGTCGACGGAGTCGTGCTAGGGGGTAGGGTGTGAGTGACCCTAGTGGTGTAGTAGGGGGTGTGTGTCAGGGGGGGTGGGATAGTTTGGGGAAGCTGAATGGAGGTTGCCGTCGTGTCGCCAGCAGCACCTGTATTCCGGGGACTTCGTCCGGTAGCCCAGTCGTAGCCAGCTGTGCCAGCCGCCCGTGGGTCCGTTGCTCGTCTGCCGCTACTTCTAGCCGCGGGGCCAGTTACTCCAGTAGTCCGGAGCGTTGTTCCGGTAGCCGCTGTGCCAGTGTGCCTCCTGTTGCCCGTGTGTCTGCAGCTTCAGTCGTCGCCTCCTATCTCCTCTCCTCTTACAGTCTCGCCTCCTCCTCCTCACTTGCCCTCTGCTATAGCCTCTAGCTTTGCTTACACTTGTGAACTTTAAACTGTTGCTTCTTGAACTTGTGCTCAGAATGTGTGGTGACATTGTGATCCACCCTGAGCTTGTTCTGCTTTGCTTGCTCTGCTGATTACACCCCACTTTGGCTATGGGGTGTGTCAGAATGTTATGCTCTAGCCTGTAGTGGGGTGCTCTATAGCGAGTACAACCCTTCTAGGGTTTGCTATTTGTATCCCCATTCTTGCTAGTTCAACCCTCTTCTTTCTTCTAACTTTTACAGGTGGTGCGGGTGGTGCGGGTGGTGTGAGCGGCGGCGGCGCCTGTAATGCGGGTGGTGGCGGTAGAATTGGCAGCAGTGGTGCTGGTAACACGGGTGGCAGTGCGTCGGGTAATGCGGGTGGCAGTGGTGGCAGTACTGTAGCCGGCAATGGGGCGGGTGGCGATGGTGCCTGTAGTGCCAGCGGCAGTGGTGCTAGTAGTGGCAGTGGTGCCAGTGGTGGCAGTGGTGCCAGTGGTGGCAGTGGTGGCAGTGGTGCCAGTGGTGCCAGTGGTGCCGGTGGTGCCGGTGGTGTCGGTGGTGCCGGTGGTGGTGGTGGTGGTGGTGTGAGGTGCCAAAGCGGATCGGGTGGCAGCACGGGAAGCAGCTCGAGTCATGATGCAAGGAGCAGTCACGGCTGTAGCGCGAGTGGCAGCGACCGATGCAACACGTTGAGAAGCATGGCGAGAATGATGGGCTGTAGGACGGGGAAACGCATGAGACAGGTGCATGGGAACAAAATGAGGACGACCATGTGTGATTGCATGTGTGGGAACACAGGTGGGTTTGAAGTCCCAGATAAGAATGACTGACTTGATCAACTATGGGAAGTTAGTGAGAGGAGATTCTTGAACAAGGGAGGGAATATAGACTGCATTCTCTACACCTCTTTGTTTCTGAGGCACCGAACTGTGACTGCAGGGGGATGGCAAGTGGCAACAGCAGAGGCACCATGATGAAAATCAGCAAAGAGATATTAGTCTCCTCCATCACACCCTCTTGCAATTTCTTACCTGTTCCCCCCTCACTTCTGCCCCTATGTAACAATTTACCGCTCTCTACCAACCTTTTGTCCCTCTCTGCCCCTTCCCCCCTCACTCTCCCCCGCACCGCTCTCTACCCAACCTTCTGTTCCTCTCTCCGCATGTGCCCCCTTCTCTCCGCCCCTTTCTCTCCCAACATCCCGAACTCCCTTCTCCACCAGACCTCCCCTACTACCCCATCGGTGCATACCACTCTCCTTGCCAACCTCCCCTCTTCCAACCAGTCACCATCTCACTCTGCCAACCTCCACACACCTACCCTCCGTCTTTTCCAAGCACTTCTCGTCCTCTCTGATAACTTCCCCCCACTCCCTGCCAACCTTCTCTCCCCCTCGTTGTCAAACCCCCGCCACCACCATCCCCCCCCCCCAATCCCCCCTCCCCATCCTCCGCCAACCTTATCTCCTCTGCCAACCTTCCCCAATTCAGTCACTGCAAAACTTCCCCACCCTTCTCTGCCGACATCCTTGTCTCTCTGCCAACCTCTCCCCCTCTCCTTGTGCCAACGTCCCCTTCTCTATCACAAACCCCTCTCTGCATGTGTGCCCTCCCCCATCCCTGCCAAGCTGCCCTCCTTCCCCCTCTCCGCCAATCTCCCCCCTTTCCCCAAACCCCTAATGGGAATGCAGGTTACCTGTGGAGGTGGTATCATGCGGGGGGGCAGTTGGAGCAGCAGAACGACGAGCACGAGAGGGTGAAGCAGGACGTCCACCAACGGCTGTCGCACTAACAGCTGTAGCGGCAGGGGTCCGAAGGGTTGTGGCACTAACAGCTGTAGCGGCAGGGGTCCGAAGGGTTGTGGCACTAACAGCTGTAGCGGCAGGGGTCCGAAGGGTTGTGGCACTAACAGCTGTAGCGGCTGGGGTCCGAAGGGTTGTGGCACTAACAGCTGTAGCGGCTGGGGTCCGAAGGGTTGTGGCACTAACAGCTGTAGCGGCTGGGGTCCGAATGGTTGTGGCACTAACAGCTGTAGCGGCTGGGGTCCGAATGGTTGTGGCACTAACAGCTGTAGCGGCTGGGGTCCGAATGGTTGTGGCACTAACAGCTGTAGCGGCTGGGGTCCGAATGGTTGTGGCACTAACAGCTGTAGCGGCTGGGGTCCGAATGGTTGTGGCACTAACAGCTGTAGCGGCTGGGGTCCGAATGGTTGTGGCACTAACAGCTGTAGCGGCTGGGGTCCGAATGGTTGTGGCACTAACAGCTGTAGCGGCTGGGGTCCGAATGGTTGTGGCACTAACAGCTGTAGCGGCTGGGGTCCGAATGGTTGTGGCACTAACAGCTGTAGCGGCTGGGGTCCGAATGGTTGTGGCACTAACAGCTGTAGCGGCTGGGGTCCGAATGGTTGTGGCACTAACAGCTGTAGCGGCTGGGGTCCGAATGGTTGTGGCACTAACAGCTGTAGCGGCTGGGGTCCGAATGGTTGTGGCACTAACAGCTGTAGCGGCTGGGGTCCGAATGGTTGTGGCACTAACAGCTGTAGCGGCTGGGGTCCGAATGGTTGTGGCACTAACAGCTGTAGCGGCTGGGGTCCGAATGGTTGTGGCACTAACAGCTGTAGCGGCTGGGGTCCGAATGGTTGTGGCACTAACAGCTGTAGCGGCTGGGGTCCGAATGGTTGTGGCACTAACAGCTGTAGCGGCTGGGGTCCGAATGGTTGTGGCACTAACAGCTGTAGCGGCTGGGGTCCGAATGGTTGTGGCACTAACAGCTGTAGCGGCTGGGGTCCGAATGGTTGTGGCACTAACAGCTGTAGCGGCTGGGGTCCGAATGGTTGTGGCACTAACAGCTGTAGCGGCTGGGGTCCGAATGGTTGTGGCACTAACAGCTGTAGCGGCTGGGGTCCGAATGGTTGTGGCACTAACAGCTGTAGCGGCTGGGGTCCGAATGGTTGTGGCACTAACAGCTGTAGCGGCTGGGGTCCGAATGGTTGTGGCACTAACAGCTGTAGCGGCTGGGGTCCGAATGGTTGTGGCACTAACAGCTGTAGCGGCTGGGGTCCGAATGGTTGTGGCACTAACAGCTGTAGCGGCTGGGGTCCGAATGGTTGTGGCACTAACAGCTGTAGCGGCTGGGGTCCGAATGGTTGTGGCACTAACAGCTGTAGCGGCTGGGGTCCGAATGGTTGTGGCACTAACAGCTGTAGCGGCTGGGGTCCGAATGGTTGTGGCACTAACAGCTGTAGCGGCTGGGGTCCGAATGGTTGTGGCACTAACAGCTGTAGCGGCTGGGGTCCGAATGGTTGTGGCACTAACAGCTGTAGCGGCTGGGGTCCGAATGGTTGTGGCACTAACAGCTGTAGCGGCTGGGGTCCGAATGGTTGTGGCACTAACAGCTGTAGCGGCTGGGGTCCGAATGGTTGTGGCACTAACAGCTGTAGCGGCTGGGGTCCGAATGGTTGTGGCACTAACAGCTGTAGCGGCTGGGGTCCGAATGGTTGTGGCACTAACAGCTGTAGCGGCTGGGGTCCGAATGGTTGTGGCACTAACAGCTGTAGCGGCTGGGGTCCGAATGGTTGTGGCACTAACAGCTGTAGCGGCTGGGGTCCGAATGGTTGTGGCACTAACAGCTGTAGCGGCTGGGGTCCGAATGGTTGTGGCACTAACAGCTGTAGCGGCTGGGGTCCGAATGGTTGTGGCACTAACAGCTGTAGCGGCTGGGGTCCGAATGGTTGTGGCACTAACAGCTGTAGCGGCTGGGGTCCGAATGGTTGTGGCACTAACAGCTGTAGCGGCTGGGGTCCGAATGGTTGTGGCACTAACAGCTGTAGCGGCTGGGGTCCGAATGGTTGTGGCACTAACAGCTGTAGCGGCTGGGGTCCGAATGGTTGTGGCACTAACAGCTGTAGCGGCTGGGGTCCGAATGGTTGTGGCACTAACAGCTGTAGCGGCTGGGGTCCGAATGGTTGTGGCACTAACAGCTGTAGCGGCTGGGGTCCGAATGGTTGTGGCACTAACAGCTGTAGCGGCTGGGGTCCGAATGGTTGTGGCACTAACAGCTGTAGCGGCTGGGGTCCGAATGGTTGTGGCACTAACAGCTGTAGCGGCTGGGGTCCGAATGGTTGTGGCACTAACAGCTGTAGCGGCTGGGGTCCGAATGGTTGTGGCACTAACAGCTGTAGCGGCTGGGGTCCGAATGGTTGTGGCACTAACAGCTGTAGCGGCTGGGGTCCGAATGGTTGTGGCACTAACAGCTGTAGCGGCTGGGGTCCGAATGGTTGTGGCACTAACAGCTGTAGCGGCTGGGGTCCGAATGGTTGTGGCACTAACAGCTGTAGCGGCTGGGGTCCGAATGGTTGTGGCACTAACAGCTGTAGCGGCTGGGGTCCGAATGGTTGTGGCACTAACAGCTGTAGCGGCTGGGGTCCGAATGGTTGTGGCACTAACAGCTGTAGCGGCTGGGGTCCGAATGGTTGTGGCACTAACAGCTGTAGCGGCTGGGGTCCGAATGGTTGTGGCACTAACAGCTGTAGCGGCTGGGGTCCGAATGGTTGTGGCACTAACAGCTGTAGCGGCTGGGGTCCGAATGGTTGTGGCACTAACAGCTGTAGCGGCTGGGGTCCGAATGGTTGTGGCACTAACAGCTGTAGCGGCTGGGGTCCGAATGGTTGTGGCACTAACAGCTGTAGCGGCTGGGGTCCGAATGGTTGTGGCACTAACAGCTGTAGCGGCTGGGGTCCGAATGGTTGTGGCACTAACAGCTGTAGCGGCTGGGGTCCGAATGGTTGTGGCACTAACAGCTGTAGCGGCTGGGGTCCGAATGGTTGTGGCACTAACAGCTGTAGCGGCTGGGGTCCGAATGGTTGTGGCACTAACAGCTGTAGCGGCTGGGGTCCGAATGGTTGTGGCACTAACAGCTGTAGCGGCTGGGGTCCGAATGGTTGTGGCACTAACAGCTGTAGCGGCTGGGGTCCGAATGGTTGTGGCACTAACAGCTGTAGCGGCTGGGGTCCGAATGGTTGTGGCACTAACAGCTGTAGCGGCTGGGGTCCGAATGGTTGTGGCACTAACAGCTGTAGCGGCTGGGGTCCGAATGGTTGTGGCACTAACAGCTGTAGCGGCTGGGGTCCGAATGGTTGTGGCACTAACAGCTGTAGCGGCTGGGGTCCGAATGGTTGTGGCACTAACAGCTGTAGCGGCTGGGGTCCGAATGGTTGTGGCACTAACAGCTGTAGCGGCTGGGGTCCGAATGGTTGTGGCACTAACAGCTGTAGCGGCTGGGGTCCGAATGGTTGTGGCACTAACAGCTGTAGCGGCTGGGGTCCGAATGGTTGTGGCACTAACAGCTGTAGCGGCTGGGGTCCGAATGGTTGTGGCACTAACAGCTGTAGCGGCTGGGGTCCGAATGGTTGTGGCACTAACAGCTGTAGCGGCTGGGGTCCGAATGGTTGTGGCACTAACAGCTGTAGCGGCTGGGGTCCGAATGGTTGTGGCACTAACAGCTGTAGCGGCTGGGGTCCGAATGGTTGTGGCACTAACAGCTGTAGCGGCTGGGGTCCGAATGGTTGTGGCACTAACAGCTGTAGCGGCTGGGGTCCGAATGGTTGTGGCACTAACAGCTGTAGCGGCTGGGGTCCGAATGGTTGTGGCACTAACAGCTGTAGCGGCTGGGGTCCGAATGGTTGTGGCACTAACAGCTGTAGCGGCTGGGGTCCGAATGGTTGTGGCACTAACAGCTGTAGCGGCTGGGGTCCGAATGGTTGTGGCACTAACAGCTGTAGCGGCTGGGGTCCGAATGGTTGTGGCACTAACAGCTGTAGCGGCTGGGGTCCGAATGGTTGTGGCACTAACAGCTGTAGCGGCTGGGGTCCGAATGGTTGTGGCACTAACAGCTGTAGCGGCTGGGGTCCGAATGGTTGTGGCACTAACAGCTGTAGCGGCTGGGGTCCGAATGGTTGTGGCACTAACAGCTGTAGCGGCTGGGGTCCGAATGGTTGTGGCACTAACAGCTGTAGCGGCTGGGGTCCGAATGGTTGTGGCACTAACAGCTGTAGCGGCTGGGGTCCGAATGGTTGTGGCACTAACAGCTGTAGCGGCTGGGGTCCGAATGGTTGTGGCACTAACAGCTGTAGCGGCTGGGGTCCGAATGGTTGTGGCACTAACAGCTGTAGCGGCTGGGGTCCGAATGGTTGTGGCACTAACAGCTGTAGCGGCTGGGGTCCGAATGGTTGTGGCACTAACAGCTGTAGCGGCTGGGGTCCGAATGGTTGTGGCACTAACAGCTGTAGCGGCTGGGGTCCGAATGGTTGTGGCACTAACAGCTGTAGCGGCTGGGGTCCGAATGGTTGTGGCACTAACAGCTGTAGCGGCTGGGGTCCGAATGGTTGTGGCACTAACAGCTGTAGCGGCTGGGGTCCGAATGGTTGTGGCACTAACAGCTGTAGCGGCTGGGGTCCGAATGGTTGTGGCACTAACAGCTGTAGCGGCTGGGGTCCGAATGGTTGTGGCACTAACAGCTGTAGCGGCTGGGGTCCGAATGGTTGTGGCACTAACAGCTGTAGCGGCTGGGGTCCGAATGGTTGTGGCACTAACAGCTGTAGCGGCTGGGGTCCGAATGGTTGTGGCACTAACAGCTGTAGCGGCTGGGGTCCGAATGGTTGTGGCACTAACAGCTGTAGCGGCTGGGGTCCGAATGGTTGTGGCACTAACAGCTGTAGCGGCTGGGGTCCGAATGGTTGTGGCACTAACAGCTGTAGCGGCTG